AAAAGGTGGTAATTTGTTTGCACTTGAACATACTTAACTCAGCAAACACTTGGTGAGCAAGACGCTTTTCTCCTAGTTCTTTCACATAATTCTTCCCTTTAATTAACCCTTCTCGCCCATGAAAAAAACAGTAACGATCTTTGCATCATGTTTCCTAGGCGAAAGCGCAACTCCCGCCCTCCCGGATTCTCACCGATCGAATTTCGCTCCATTAAAATAACCGGAGTCTCCACCCGAAGCTGGTCGACCAAAAAACCTCGGGAAACGTGGCAACAGAAGGAGGGTCCAATGGTGAAAATGAACACCAGGATTCTATCGCGTCGGGTATTGCAGCGCAGTCATGTAATACTGCGCTGAATGTCAACGGCAATAATGACCTCAATGAGCACTTCTGACCTAATATTAACCTTTGACTGTTGCTCGTTCTACCCTTCTTTCAAAAAAGGCGGGTTAGCAACAAAGCGCGCGTAGGGAGGGATGACAACGTGCTCCTTTGTCGCATGTACCCCCTATTCCAACAATAGAACGATTATGTTGCTTATGACGTGAAGTAAAGCGGCCGTTCAGGCAATTCAGAAACTGCAGAGCACATGTGCCGTTTTACTTGACGCAGGCAAATGAAGATTATAAGTCGAAAATCAAACCAATTTTCTGCCGCGAAACAACATTTGCTAAGTTTTTCCCCACATCTCCATCAGTAAGCGCACCCAAATCTTTGGAACAATTTGAGACAAAGGTAATTCATCTATTTGATCATTCATTAGAAGCTGCTAGGAGTGGTCTTTAATGAGTGATTGTCTAAGTATCGTGGTAAAAAATCTGAGTAAAAGAGGAAAAAGATGCAGCCGTCAAACCATTCCAATTAGCTAAAAGCAGTCAGTGCTAATAAGTGGGAGCAATTTGCCTAGAGAACCTCGTTTGCTTTTGTTCTGTTCATCCTTGAAAAATAGCCTTCCAAGCCATAATCATATGTCATGTATTCATTACAATATGTGTTCATGCGATGAACCAAATTTTTTTTGGCTTATCTTGCTGGGTATGTATGAGTTATGTGGCGCATTTGTGTGCCACTTCATTGTGAATGCTGCATTTTGCATGGATGTGATCTAAACTAGTTGGCCTCCACCTGACTTTCGGAAAAAGTGATATGGTATTGCATGAAGCGGGGATGTCGCTGTAAGAAGTGTATGGTTTGCGATGAAAAGTTTTGAAAGTTTTTGGATTTCGTGTCAAGTTCGTAAAATGAGTTACATATGGTAGTTGAGAGGTGATTCATATCGGAATAGATCTCTGTTTCCTTGTATTGGTTTCTGTGAGAGAGATTCTCATGAACTTCGGTATTTGGGGTGTAAATCATAGAAAACGAACTGTTCTTGAATCTCTAATGTCTTTGGGCATGTAGATGGCATACATGTTGGGTTTTTCTTGGTAGTTTCCATTTTAAT